TTCAGGTCATTCCAGTTCTAGCAAAGTTTCTATTAAGCAATTACGCAAAAAAAAACATTATTTTTACTTCAAATACTGACAATCTTCGGGTATTTTCTGTGAAAATTTTCAAATTTCAAAATCGCTCGGCTCCTGCACAGCTTTGTAATTTTTTTTCTGGGACAAAACTCTCTCTAAACAGAACAACGGGTTTTCCTAAGGTTTTATTGTAAAATACTGGCAAACTGAGAGTCTTTTATGCAAAAAAGTTAAAAGATGGATTTTTATCAATCAAATTTCCCGGATTTTCCCGCTTTGAACCAACTAGTTTCAAGCAATCGTATGCGCAAAAGCAATATGTCGATGGCTTTTTTTGGTTAGATGTTAAAACTCCGTCATCGGCCATGAGTTATCACTCAGTCACCATTGAGTTAAAACTCATTAACTCAGCACAGTGTTACTCAAGCGCAACTCAACACAGTGTTACCCAGACCTACTCTAAATACTCCAAACTAGCGACACCCAACAGGTCTAGTTCACACGATTTCCCTGTCGCAATCCGACCGGTTTGTTATCAATAATTTCCGTTGCAAATCTATAAAATGCAGAATTGCAATTGCTTCGAGCCATTTTGCCGCATCCAGCGTCGGCATATCAGAGCTCGCGGCCGCCGAAAACAATCCATTATTAAATAAACGTTTTCCGGTCATAAATAATGCATAACCTCCGTCAGCACTTCTTCCCCGAATTACATTCACTCTGCAAATGTTTTATTCAAGCGTAATAGCTGACCGCAGAGCAAGCGCTGTTACTGCGGGAACTCGACTGGACGGGGAATAATTGGCCGAAAAATCGAATGACAAATTTAAAAAAACACACAACCGTATAAGCAGATGTTTTCTTTCCGATATGGGTAAAACCCGAAAATCCGCAATTCTTCAACAGTTGCAACGGGAGTAAAAGTAACTAGCCTGTAAAGTAACCAGGCAAAAAAATATTTTTTGAAAATTTCTCTCGCTCAAAACGACCATATTTTAAGCGATGAAGGTGGCAAGTTGGAACGCAGCAGCGCCTGGCCATCGTGCACCGCCTATAGGCTTCTATGGGTGCGAGTGAGAGATCCGATGCGCGCTGCGTTCTGGAATGAGAGTTTAGTTTCGGGTTTTACACCGTTGCCAACGTGAATTTTACCCGGGTTTTTCTTCAATTATGGATTCTCGCGAAAAGGACTTTTAAAAATTTAGGAAAATTCCATCTACTTACCGTTCGATTTCCCAGATTGCGCACGCGGCAGCCCAAATAGGTGGTTTTTCCGACCAGCGCTGTCACATTTCGGGACACGCTCTTATCGAAAAACGGCCCTCTATCGATGATCAGCGGCTCGATTTCGTTCTCCACCTCCGCAAGCGACTGCGAACCATCCTGGCGCTTCACCCTGCTGAAACCTGCAAGAAAACCTCCGTTAAGTATCAGAAGTCCATTAATTTGCCAGGGATTGTTTAACTTCGGCAAGCCCCTAAATGGGCTCAGAACAGGCCTCTGTTCAAACTTAGCTAATTGATAGTTCCGCAGCTGGCTCAGCAGGAAACTAAGCAACAATGATCCCCCTGCCCTCGCTGTCGCTATCTCTCTTGATCACAGCAACGGAATTGCATAAAAGGTTCAATAATTAAGTGGAAACTTCGTCTTAAATTCATTTGCGCGCGGAGATTTAAGCTGTTCGCTATCTATAATTCATCGGCTAATTAATCCCAACCGAGCTTATTACTTGCAAAGTAATTGAACTGGAAACTGAGCTCTGCGCTGAGTGAATGTTCAAAAGCGCTTAATGTTGTGGGAAATGCGTTAATGAGCCCCGGCACAGCGCAACAAATCCTCGATCGAGAAAGATTGCCACGTAAACTCCAACATTTATTGAACAACTGCTTAAAAGACAGTCCAACTAGCAAGAGTCGCGATCGAATTTCAAAGCTCTAGCATAATGTTAATGAGGAAAACTTCATAGTTACGACTGCTAATTGAAAGAGGAAAGAGGAGCAAAAAATTGTAGAATCCGACACCGTCAAGGATACAAAACAGCAATGAACGCAACTTCAATGGGGCTAATTTGGCGCTTTTCAGCAACTCGACTCGGTCGAGCAAGCAAACGTTTTCTTCTACACCCGCTGATAAATTTGTCGGGGGCCCGTTCATTAATTTAAGCCAGTTCTCTGAGCGAAAAATTATAATATTAGCAGCCCTTCCCAGTACATAAGTTCCGTCTAATTTGATGGAAGGCACGACTGTCGCTTGAGTTAAGCGTCTACGTTTATCACCTGTCCCCCTTTTACACTTTATGAGGCTGTTCGTTCTCGCAGAGACACTCATTTCTCTTGTCGCAATAAAATAAACACTGCAATGATTTCGCCAGATAAAATGACTGGTAATTAATTGAATCAGCTTGCCGGGCCGCTCCTTAATTTATACCGCATACAAAATTCAATTATCGTCGCTCAATCACATCGCATTCCTTCCACCTCCTCTAGCAGAATCTACCGTTTTATTTCGGCCGTGAGTGTTTCAATAAGCCCCGTTGGAAATGTTACGAGATTGGCTTTTTTTATTGGTATCTCTGATGCTGTTGGCGTCTTATGAATTCAACGAGCCGCCAAACAGAGCGCCAGCATAAAGGATCGTTATTATGGAAATTTTTAGTTTCATTTTGTGTTCGGATATAAAATGAATAAAGACAGGCCATGCTTGATACAGCGAGATTTGGGTTGAAACGGATTAAAAGTGATATATTATGTGCGTCGTATCATGAAAGATTGTGGAATGTAAAGGAATTTTTCGTATAGTCAGAATCAGTTGCTTTCTTAGCACGATAATGTTGGTTTTTTGCAGCAAATAAACAACAAATTTCAATAAATGAATAATGTCTAGCGGGGATTCTCATTTCAGAACGCAGCTCCTAGCGGATCTCTCACTCGCACCCATGAGAGCCTATGAGCGATGCACCATGGCTGTGCCTGGCTGCGTTCGAAGTTGATACCCCAGTCGCTTAAAATATCAGAACTTTTTCTGTTTTTTCAAAACGGCCTCAGAGCCTGGGAAACTCGCAACTTCATGTTGTGCTTGCTTTTATTCGATTTTGCAAAAATCATTCCATTATTATTAATTGGCTTAACGCCGCCAACCAAAGAAACTTCCCGCTGTATGTTTTTGCCAGAAAACCCCCAAAAGCCAAGCTTACTTTAGTGTTAGTACGAAGTAAAAATGGCATCCACAAAGTGGATCATTCACATCGGCTGAAGGCTAAACGCAAGCTCGAGTGACTATAATATAGCATGAGAGCGTTGGCTTAATGCGTAAAAATCACATTCTCACTATTTTGCACTAAGGCCACTATTCCGACTTCCAACCGAAAATTTCTCTGAATAAGCTGGTTGGGCCAATTCGCATTTCAAAACGTAGCTCGCCTCGGTCCTCTCACTCGCACCCATGGGAGCCTATGAGCGGTCCATCATGGCTGTGCCTGACTGCGTTCGAAGTTGATACCCGCGTCGCTTAAAATATCAGAGTTTTGAGCAACACAAAGTAGTGGAAAATTTAAAATGTTATTTCAAGAACTAAACTATCTGGAGACATTTTTTTGCATCGCCGCAAAGAGCAAATTACTTCCTTTTATAGGGAAATTTTCGTTCGAACCACATGTTTTGTTGAGTTGAGGTGAATTTTTAAAAACGTGCTTGCGATTGAAGCACTGAACAAATGGACCAAAAATTCTGCAAAAACGAAAAACTGAACAAAGCTGATTGAGCGATGATGAAAAGGTGGAAAAAACGATCGAAGTGGAACCACCTAACCTTTCACTACCCGAAATCTGATCTAAAATGTTTGAAAATCCAAAGTGATCGATAGATTAAGGCGAATCGAAACGCAAACAACACAACAAGCTTAATCCTTTAGAAAATTGACAATTATTTTTCGACGTTGTAATTAAACTCAATTACAAGCGATAAACCGATACGTTTTCTCCTTATCAGTATTAAGCCGTTAACGATTTACGGATTATCGATGTTTGATTGAGGGTTTATTTTAAAATTCAATCTAATCGCATAAATACAAATTAATAATTTTTTAAGTAAATATGTTGCTTACGCAATCGCCAATAGCTAGCAAATATCCGATTTTATTGATATAATTAGATCCTTGGGTTAATAGTGGTTAATCGTAATCGGGATTTGATAAATCTGACAAAATGCTATTATTTGTTCACATTTTATTAACAATCTTCTCTTTTCGTCGTTTTAAATGGAGAAAAATCACGCTCTATCAACATTCACTTCAAAGTAAACGATCGGAAAGTGGCTATAAATATTAAAAGTATTAGACAATACATGGTTATTAATATTTCTAATGGAAAAAATATAAATGCATTTTTTCTTGGAAATGTGATAAGCCTCTTTTCATCGCCTACTTAAAACTGCCAGAATCTTTGAATGCATTTGTACATTTTGGAGCACTTTTGCGGCCTTTTCCAGGAATTAATCCATTTTCCGCATGTTAAGTGAAAGCTAAATGGGTAAAACCAGATTTTGTCTGGTACAAGTGCAGGTCTTTGGATATGGATCAACTTCTGTGTTGCGCTATTTTCAAAATTGAGTCCAAACAGCTCACAGGTGAAAAATGATGAAAAGCGGCATGTTCAGTGCATTTAACGCACTAAACCAACCAGAGGATTTACAGTGAGAAAATCAACATTCTTTGCTATATTATAATCAAAAGCGTTCAAATAACCCATTCGAATGGCCCGGCAAAGAACCCATCCGGAAGCCCTCCTAACACTCGATCATAATTTTGGCTCAATTACCCCAAATGAAGTACATCCACTATGAGTTAGTTAATTTGAAAACTAGCGCGCCGTACCCCAAAATGGGCCATCAAGGGCGCCATTAAAGCCACTAAAATGAGACTTCGGCCTGTTGTTAGGGCTGCAAAGGGACTGCCAACACTTAATAACGCAGGCAAACCCGACACGAGAGCCTCTTCCACGTGACCAAGTCTTCGGATTAACGATCCAGTGTTTTAATTGTAAATAATTGACATTTCGAATGGCTCAGCGGGATGGAAGCGTTTCTTTCGTGCGATTAAGTTTGATCCATTTGGAAAGGTCGCGCCCCGGTCTAGTGAATGGCCCAATTTCGCCCCGCTTTTTCCTCAGCTACTCGACAGTCTTTTCATTAAATTAAGCGATTTTCCAGGCGAACGTTGGCAGCGTCGTCGCGATTAGACAACTGGAAGTCTTATTCGTATTGTTCCAGAAGTTCCCGAATTAATCGCATAGAGGTTGAACTGCACAACTTGTCAAGCGGCAATACTAAATCATTATTCTCCTGGTCTGAGCTTGACGCTGATGTATGAAGGAAACAATGTGAATAAGTAACCAGAGGGTGGATTTCTCCCGATTAACACGCGGCGGTGCAACCGATCAGTGCTGATAAATTGCGAATGTGTCTGTCGCGTTTCGGCACGCGAACCGAGCTTAATAATTCTTCAGCGCCGCGTAGCTGGATTCCAGCACCTGATAGCTATGTAATTGAGATATTGATGGCACCATTTCGCTCCCTCCAAAGCGCTCCCGGGGCGGGAAGTGTTCAAAAAAGCGAACCAAGTCGTAAATTAAGGCCCTCTTACAAGTTTGAACTTATCCAATCGTAAAACTTTCAATTAAAACTTGCCAGCGGCTTCCAGCTCGGGATTGCGAAAGTTGATGTGGAAATGCAAAACAGGGCTTAGTGTTATTACGTTTTATTTCAGTTAAAGGGGCTGCAATCGCGCCAATGTGCGACTTCCATGCCATCATTTGCATTGATTTTTTGCCGATTAAACGAAGCAGTGATGCGAACAAATCTTGCACCTCAACCAGTGCAAAAAAGTCTTTAACTGTCTTCACCTG